CTCTCTCTCTCTCTCTCTCTCTCTCTCTCTCTCTCTCTCACACACACACACACACTCTCACACGCATTCTCCCTCTCTCTCTCTCTCTCTCTCTCTCTCTCTCTCACACACACACACACACACACACACACAAACAAAATAGTTTCTCAGACTTACTTCCGTTCTTGTCAGGGGTTTGGACCGACAGTCTGCTAGGATTGCGGAGTTGGTGTGAGTAAAGTCAGCCACTTCTCTCTTAGGAATGGGTATCGCTAACTCTGGGCGATGTGGCGATTCCTTATCTATCAGTCTGCTACGATTGCGGGGTTGGTGTGAGTATTCCTGTGCAGACTGTCGGGGTTCAACCTCCTGATGAGTCGGTGAAAATCCAACGAAACAGTCTGTTCGGCACAGTCCTGCTACTTCATACTCTTCATCCTCCCTCCCACCCTCCCTCTCCCACCCTCCCTCCCACAAGAATGATTCTCTTCTCGCCCACCTTCTTTACCTCCGACTCTCATTTCTCATCTCGCTTCCTCTCCGTCATCGTCACCATCATCGTCAATCTCTTAGGTCCTCTTAAATCTCTCTCTCTTCGCTACCGTCCTTTTTCATACAGGGAACGAAATAAAAGACCAACCACCAAAGAGCAAAAGAGCACCGAGACGAAAACAACACTCGGTTAGCAGCAGTAGATGGCGAAGGTGGCTTTCCTTTCCCAAGTAGAAGAAATTAACTTGCCTGTATTTTCGAAAGTACAAGAAACTTTCTCGACTAGATATCATTATCCATATCCATCATCGTCAACGGACCATCACCACCAACACAGTGGATATCAATACGCACGCATCATCCAGATCCAGATGCATCATCCATATCCAGATGCATCATCCACATCCAGATGCATCATCCATATCCAGATGCATCCATCTTCCCTATCCATGGTAACCGAGGGGATGCATCGGTTACGATCGGGATAGGGATGCATCCGTATCTGTCCGCAATCGTCGGAATGAAACACCGATGTAGATGCATCCAGATCCCGACTATAACCGGATCATCATCCCGACACATCTGTGAATTGCTGTCCGTAATGATTCTTGATGGCACACACAGACGGCTGACCCATCGATCGATTGGCTGATTGACTGGTTGACTGATTGATTTGCTCATTGATTTGCTCATTGATTGGTCGATCGATTGATTGATTGATTGATTGATTGATTTGATTTTATCTGATTGATAGACTTAATGATCAGCACGAATAAAACGTTTCTACCTCAAACCAACGGTCAAGATCCGTCTGATACCCAAATGATTTTTCAAAATAAAGATCTCTCATCCATTAATGACCAATCAATCATTTCCCGTCCTCCCATTACTACAGGTCGACTGGGCACAAGAATGTCCCCGACACAGTCACCAATCTCTCTCTCTCTCTCTCTCCTGACAAGTCCGTGAAAGGCTGACGAAACAGTCTGCACAGTCATGCTTTTTCTGGAGTTGTGTGCATAGCGAATATGACAACACACACACACACAACAACAACAACAACAACACACACGCACACAAAAAAGCAGAGAAAAGTTTTGCTCCGTTTCCCGGTACGAGAAGAAAGGCACCCGAGTCCTGATCGAGCAATAGAGTACGGGCATACTCACACTAAAAGACTTGAGACTTTTTTTTATCTCCTGAATCTGGAGGGCAAATGCATCTTGGAAAGACCAGGAGCGAGTACTCCCTGAATAAATAAATACAGTAAATACTACTGTAAATGAAACGAGTTCCTAAATAAATATTGTGAATGAGGTACCTATGGGACGCAACGAGTTCCTCCTCTTCTCTCGCATACTGCAGGTTTTCCGCCCCGAGCTTCTTCAAGAACGAAGTCCACGGCTTCTTCTCCTCCGCCGGAACGCCATAGAATCTGTCAGAGGAACACCCCACGCCCTCCTCTCCCCGGATAACCCACACCCCTCAACCCCCCCCCCCCCCCCCCCCCCCCCCCCCCCCCCCCCCCCCCCCCCCCCCCCCCCCCCCCCCCCCGGAAAACACGCACCCATCGTCATCATCAGCCCACAGCCCACCCCCACTCCATCAAGAGAGCAACGGGACTTTCTTCACCAATGCCCACAGCCCACCCCCGCTCCATCAGCCCACAGCCCACAGCCCACCCCCACTCCATCAGCCCACAGCGCACAGCCCACCCCCACTCCATCAGCCCAACAGACCGAACAAACGGAAGGGCCGAAGGGATGGAAGAGAAAAAGAAAAAAAAGAAAAAAAAGAAAAAAAGAAATGAAGAAAAAAAGAAGACAAAAAAAAAAGAAACAAAAGAAACAAAAGAAAAAAAAGAAAAAAAGAGGAAAGAGTTCGAATCCGGCGCTTAGAAGACACGAGAGGGAGACAAAAGGAGGAATGCATCTTCCACAGAAAGCGGTAAGATGCATCCGTCGCTATCAATAGTAACAGATGCATCTTACCACTTTCTGAGGAGACAGACAAGGAGAGGAGAGGAAGAAGGGAGAGAAAAGAAAGGAAGGAGAGAAAAGAAAGGAAGAAGAGCGAAGGGAGAGATGAAGGACAAGGAAGTGCGGGAGAAAGAGGAAAAGGAGAGGAAGACGACGCTGCACCACACAAAAGAGAGAGAAAGAGAGAGGAGTTCGATGCATCGCACATGAGGAGATCAAACAAAGGGGAGACAAAACGAAAGCGTTCAAAAATCAGAGGGATAGCAACGCAAAATACAGCAAACCTGACGAGTGAAAGACAGGAAAGGAAAGGACAGGAAGAGAAAGGCGAGACAGCAAGGAAGGGCAAAAAGGGAATGAACGGGAAAGAGAGTAGAGAAAAAAAAAGGACGGGGAAGGGGGCGGGGGGGAGGAGCGGAAGGGAAAAAAAGTGTTAGAGAGAGAGAGCGTACAGATAGGACAGGGAAGAGAAGAGAGAGAGGGAGAGCGTAATCAGGGCGAGAAAGAGAGATTGGAGCAAAGAGGGAGCCAAGGGGAACGGAGAAGGGAAGAGGAGGCTCGCAAAGGAGAGACGTTACTCTAGGACAGGCAAGAGAGGCGAGCTGAGAGAAAGAAACCAAGGCTATAGAGAGAGAGAGAGAAAAAAGGAGAGAGATAGAGAGAGAAAAGTAAAGCGAGAGAGAGAGAGAGAAGAGAGCAATCAGCGAGCCAAGGAGACGTAGAAGGCGAAAGGAGAGCACGCAAAGGAGACGGGGCCTGTCGGGACAAGCCGGATCCCGACACACATACACCCCAGTACTCTACCGCCACAATCACGATTCATCGGGCCTCGCCAGAGCACTGTTGAAAAGTGAAAAGGAGGAATGCATCTTCCACAGAAAGCGGTAAGATGCATCCGTTGCTAGCAATAGTAACAGATGCATCTTGCCACTTTCTGAGGAAGATGCACTCATTTTTTTCGCCTTTCGACAGTGGTGCGGCGAGTCCCATCTTCTCGGAATCCGACGACGGCAAGCTAAGAGACCTGAGGAAACTTCGATGCTCCCGATGCACAAAGTACAGAGGTACCCTTACCCCGATGCACAAAGTACAGATGTACCCCTACCCCGATGCCAAATCAGACGCCCCCAGCCCCCAAACCCACGTCGAATGATTGATTTCAGATGAAATCAGAACCGTCCATTTTATTTATCTTGCTATAGTATCATCCATTACATCCATTTTCTTCGGTCCTGTCTCACTACCTTCTTCCCCCCAATACAACGTACGGTTATTATAGCTGCATTTGGGGTATCTTTCAGTCTAAATACATACAGCTCTAATGACCGTACGTTGTATTCGGAGGAAGAAGGTAGTACTCGTAATTTGTCCCTTCAGCCGGAGATCACTGTATGTGAAACAAGGAATCTTTTCTAATTAATCACCGATCAAGCAAAACAAAACTACCGTCTTCCCCCGAACACAACGCACCCTCATTTTGACTGCATCGGACCGGAAAGACGACTTCTATACGTTCATTTTCAGGGTGCGTTATGTTCGGGGGGGGAAGATGGTAGTCAACATATATGTTATACAATCCACCTAGCAACAAACTTAACTAATTAATCTATAAAACACATTCTCGAGCAAGCAACGACTCGATCTATCGATACCATATAAATGAGAAGGAGCCTCGCTCCATCGCTCACCGAATGTGAGAAAAAGACCAAAACAAATATAGCGTGCATCTTTGCACCTTCTAGCCGCAGATACAATCGCCATTTATGACACATTTGGACTGCAATCCCCGCCATCTCTTTATGACATACTTGAAGCGTATTTGTCAACCTTCAAGCTGAAGATTCACTTGCAATTTCGCACATTACGCGTAAAATACACCGAATCCCAAGAAGAAACCAATCCCCCCTCATCGCCTGCCCTTTACCCAAC